TATATATATATATGTATGTATTTTATATATTGAGTCAGCGTCTTGCTGTGTAATTCAGGCTGTCCTTAAACTCACTATATAGTCCAGGCTGACCTCAAACTTGTGACTACCCTCCTGCCTCAGCCTCTGGAGTACTGGATTACAGACATGTGCCACCACACCTGGCCCACTCCATAATTGAATTGTTTCAGCGATATTGTTGAGAGAAAGCTGGCCAGGAGTTTGAGAGAAATGGAGAAATGCTGGTTTTGTTTATTTTTTTCCCAGTACTGAGGATTGAACCCAGGGCCTTTACACTGAGCTACATCATCAGGCCCCTTTTTCATTTTTTATTTTGGGAAAAGTTCTCACTAAGTTGCTAAATTGTCCAGGCTGGGACTTGGGATCCTCCTGCCTCAGCGTGTCAGGGTGCTGAGATTATAGATGTGCACCACCACACTGGGCTGGGAATTGATGTCAGATTCAAAAGATGACAAACTTCTTTACATAACAACATGAATATGCTCAGCACTAGGAAACTGTGCACTTAGAGATGGTTAAGATGGTGCATTTCACATTAAGCGTATTTGCTCTTAACAAAATACAGCCATAATCAGGGGTTTTTTTTGCTGGTTCTGCAATCTCAGACACGGTTGGGACAGGTCAGGGTGAGGTGGTGCAGTATGGGACAGTGTTTTTCTTTTTTGTTGTTGTTGCTTTTGTGTGGTGCTGGGGATCGAACTCAGGTTCTTTGTACTAAGTTATATCCTCAGGCCTTTTTAATTTTTTTTTTTTTGGTACTGGGTATCAAACTCGGGACCTTCCACTTGTGAGGTAGGCGGTGGAACCACTGAGCTAAATGCCCAGCCCCCAATTTTTTATTTTGAGACAGAGTCTCAGTAAGTTGCCCACTCTGGGCTCCAACTTGCAATCCTCCTGTCTCAGCCTCCCCAGAGTACTGGGGTTTCGGGCCTTCACCACCCCGCTGGACTTCGGCTGGCTACACAATCTTCAATGGAGAAATATTTTTCTTCCATCGTAGCCCTAACAGAAAAGTCTCTTTTCTGTTTTCTTTCTATAGGTTGGTAGGGTTTTTGTTGTTATTATTTTGGTAAACTTAACATAACATGAAATTTGCCATTTTGGGTTATTTTTATTAGTATATGTTTGGTTTTGTTTTTTGTTGTTGTTTTTATTTTTGTGTTTTGAGTCAGGGTCTCACTCTATAATTCAGGCTGGCCTCCAGCTAACATTGATTCTCCTGCCTCAGCCTTCCTAGTGCTGGGATTACAAGTGTATGCCACCATCCCAGCTTCCAGTGTATGTTTGCAATACGTAATAATTGCGGTCGTTTTTACACCCTTTCCCCTTCCTGTCTTCCGGTCTTCCCAAATTTGTCTTCTGTTTGTTTGTTTGTTTTGTGGAACTAGGAATCAAACTCAGGACCTTGCACTTGCCAGGCAGCTTCGGGGACACTGAGCTACCTCCCTGGACCCTGTTTGTTTTTGAAACAGGGTCTCATATAGTTCAGGCTGGCCTCGAACTTGCAGGAATCCTCCTGCTTCAGCCTCTGGAATGCTGGGATCACAGGCATGCACCACAATGCCTGGCCTGGGGAGCCTGGCTGACCCATACCCCCAGGGCTTTGGGATTTTGAAAATGATTAATTTTTTTTCTTATGGGAATGTACCCATCAGATAAAATTTACCAATTTAGCCATCTTATTTATTTTTATTTTTTGTGGTGCTGAGGATGGAACTTGGGGCCTTGAGCATACTAGGCAAGTGCTCCAGCACTGAGCTATACCCAGCTCTCACTTCAACCATAAAGTGTACAAGCCTGTATGGTGGCACACGCCTGTGATCCCAGCACTTGGGAGGCTGAGGCAGTAGGATCATGGTGAGTTGGAGGCCAGCCTGGGCTACATAGTGAGACCCTGTCTCAAAATAAATAAAATAAAGTGTACAATTCAGTGGTGGTGAGTGTGTTTACTATGTTGTGCAACCATCACCTGTAGTTGCAGAACATTTCATCACCCTAAAGGAAACCCCATATCTGCTCAGCATGGGTTTCCTGTTCTGCATTGAACATGTCCAAAAGACATGTTCAAGTCCTGAGGCGCAGGTGAATAGAGTTAAAGTGAGGTCACACAGGCTTAGGAGGAGCCCTAACCAACAGAGTGGTGTATTTATAAGAAGCAGAAAGCTGGCCATGGTGGCGCACACACACCTGTAATCCCAGCACTGAGGCCCTGTCCCTTCCTGTCACATGCAGCGTCTCATCTGAGGCCTGCAGACAGGTGGCAGGCGGCAGAGATGGGGTCAAGGGGTTGAGTGTGGTGAGACCAGACGTGCCCCGAGGGACAGTGACCTCGAGCAGGCCCTGCAGACAGAGGACAGGGATTTGCGGCCCAGAGGGGCCTGTGCTGGACAGGGCTCTGCAGAACTGGGATCTCAGGGTCTCCACACAGAAGCGTGAAGTTAGGACACAGGTCCCAGGCCTCCTGTCCGACTTCTCTCCTCCTGTCCGACTTCTCTCCTCCTGTCTGACTTCTCTCCTCCTGTCCGACTTCTCTCCTCCTGTCTGATTTCCCTCTCCCTGGGCCTCCCTCCCTCTCCCTGGGCCTCCGTCCCTCTCCCTGGGCCTCAGTCCCTCTCCCTGGCCCTCTGTCCCCTCTCCCTGGGCCTCAGTCCCTCTCCCTGGCCCTCTGTCCCCTCTCCCTGGG